TCATCACTCCACTTCTATCACCCTCCTTCAAGGTCAATGCCAGAACTGCTGCTGCTCTGATTCTACTAACTTAGGCATCCCACTCTTACCTTTCCAGTTCTCACTCAGTTACACTGGACCTCACAAGGGCCACCAATTCCTTGATCCTTCTACTATTTTCTTATGTGCCAGCCCCTCGTATCTTCATTTCCTTCCCTATTCAGCTATGGTTCATGGTCCTCCACTACTTCCTTTTCTATTCAGTTGACAGTTCATGGTCGACCTCCTCTATACCCGTCTGGCAAAAGTTCATTCTATACCAAGACTGCTAAGCACTGCTGGAGAAAAGTCACCAACAGTGCATTTCATGCCCACCATAAATTCACGAGAACCAACCTCTCCTTATCCTCAGCAATGCTTAACCACTTTATTTCCCTAGGAGGCTTTCTCTCTCTCTCTCATTCTCCATATCAGCTCTTTCAAACCTTCCCTATGCCTATAACCTTTTAACCCTATCACCTCTTCCTTTTTCTCAGCCATTGACCTCACTGTTAGTTTACAATAAAAAGAGAAGCCATCACATAGGAACACCCACAACTTACCATCAAGTCTAACATCCTTGCCTACACCTGCACCCACTCTTTCCTTCTGCCTTTGCATTTCAATGATGTGCCCCTGTATCCTTTATAGGACTTACTCCAATACCTGTGTTAAGGGTCACTCTGCCTCCTACTTTCCTGGAACCTTCCTCTAACCATCAATTCTTGCTCTCCTGTTTCTTCAATTCCTTCCTCTACCATCAGCCTTAAAACAAGTTTAAAATTCTCCCCTCCCTCTCCCTCAACATCAGCTATGGCTCCTCTCCATCATTCTTTTTCTTTTTTCCCCCTGCCATTACTTCCCCACTTTCCCCCCCACTGCTCCTCTGTTTCTCAATCTTCTGAAATCCAGCGTTGGCCTCCAATTCAAATAAAACTCTTCTCACCAAGGGTACCAACAACCTCTTTGCCACAAAGTTCAGTGGTCATAATTTAGACCTAATTGTACTTAAACTTCTGCAACACCTGACACTGCTGACTCTCTCCTCCTTAAAACACTCTTCCCTCTTTGACTACTATACTTTTTGACCTTCTTTTGACCTCTCTTAGCTCCTCCTTTCTCACTGCAGATTATTCTCCTTTGAGTATGCCTTTGAAGTTGGTATCTGTCACAGACCCTTCTCTGCTTACCTTACGCCTTTCCCCAGGTGGTTTCATCTACTTCCATGATTTTAATCACTACTTATGTATAAGCTGAAGATTCTTAAATCTATATTTTGACCCCTCTCTTGAACTTCAGATTCCATATATCAACACTGTCTACTGAACAACTTTACCTAGGCGAGCCACGGCACCCAAAATTAAAAATGTTCAAAACTGAGCTCATTGTTTTTCCTCCAAATCCTGTTCCTTCTACTTTGTTCTCTATTTCATGGAATGACACCAACCTTACTTGGTTACCAGAGAAAGCTAGATGTCAGTCTTGACCCTTCCCTCTCTCTCAACCTCACTCCCTCTGCCCCATAAGTAATCAGTCACTACCCTCAAAAAAAACTCCCTCAAATGCATCCAATTCTCTCTCTCTCTCTCCTCACTGCATCCTAGTCTAAGCCACCACATCTTTCTAAAAATTATGTAATAGCTTCCTAACTGGTCTTCCCATCTCCCTCCAATCTACTTTCCATACTGCTTCTAATGAGCAATCCTTTCCAAATTTTTTCTTGTTACTTCCCTGAGTTAACCTCTGAATGGCTTTCCACTGTCTTGATTCCACTGGATCTAGTCCAGACAACTTACTCAAGCTTACATGGTCTTTCAAGATCTACCTCATGCTTACCTCTTTGGCCTTCTATCTCTCTCTCTCTCTCTCCCTCTCTTCCAAGGTTTCTTAACTTATTTTCTATTCCTTAAAGTATCAGTCTTTCTCTTGCTTCCAGGCCTTCACACATACCATTTCTTCTATCTGAACACTTTCTTTCTGTACCTTCCCCACCCTCTTCAGAGCAAAACTTCAATATCACTTCCTCCTGGAAGCCCTCCCTGACCCTTCTATCCACCCCAAATCAAAACAAACATGGGTTAAGCCAACTCATGTTTGACAAAGGCTCCACCACCAACCACTGGGGAGAGAGGAACCTATTCAGTAAATGGTGCTGGGAAAACTAGCTGACCACATCCAGAAGATTAAAACAAGACCCCTACCTATCACCATACACAAAAATCAACTCTAAATGGATCAGAACTAAATGTAAAACCTCAAACTATAAGAACCTTAGAAAATGCAGGAGACACCCCTATGGAAATTGGAACTGGCAACCAATTCCTGATCAAAACCCCAAGTGCCCATGCCATAAGAGATAAGATAGACAAGTGGAACCTCATCAAACTGATGAGCTTCTGCAAAGCCAAAGAAACCATCAAGAGAGCAGGGAGACAGCTCACAGACTGGGAAAAATATTTGCCACTGTATATCTGACAAAGGCCTAACATCTAGGATCTACAAGGAACTCAAACATGCTGAAAAGAAAAAAACAAACAGTCCCATTTACAAAGTGGGCAAAAGATATGGATAGATATTTCTCAAAAGAAGACATATGAGCAGCCAACAGATATATGAAAAAATGCTCAACTTTACTAGTCATCAAAGAAATGCAAATTAAACCACACTGAGATGCCATCTAATTCCAGTCAGGATGGCCATCATCAATAACCCCCCTCCCCCCAAAAAAAACAGATGCTGGAGAGGATACAGCAAAAAGGGGACATTTCTACACTGTTGGTGGGGGTGTAAGCTAGTACGGTCTCTGTAGAAAACAGTGTGGCAATTTCTAAAAGATCTAAAAATCGACACTCCATACAATTCTGCAATCCCCCTACTGGGAATATACCCGGAGGAACTCAATCACTCTATGAAAAAAATATCTGCACACGTGTTTATTGCAGCATTGTTCACAATAGCAAAAAACATGGAACCAACCATGCTGCCCATCACAAGAGGACTGGATAAAAAAAATGTGGTACACATACACAATGGACTATTATGCAGTCACAAAGAAGGACAAAATTATGAACTTCATAGCAACTTGGATGAACTTATAGTCTATAATACTGAGTGATCTATCACAGAAATAAAGAACTGAGTATCATGTTCTCACTCATAAATGGGCTTTGATCAATTACCGTAATACTGTAAGAAAAGATTTGGCAGTAGTGGGAAATTGCCAGGGATACAGGATTGGCAGTAATGAAAATCTGCCAGGAGAGATGGGGGGCACACTTCATCAACAAGGGTATCTGCATAGTGAACATTTGTATACCTAATCCTGTATTGTACCCCACATCTTTAAAAAAAAAAATTTTTTTTAAGTAAACATTAGAAACTCAGCTGAGAACAGCCATTACTGGCATGAAAAGAATGCACAAGCTTTCTGACTCAGATTTTTCGGCCTCTGAAAGCTACGAATCAGTTCTCAAGAAGACATCAGATAGAGATCTCTATCTTGCCAGAACAAATGTCATGTGATAGCAAATATAAATAAAACCTATGAGAAATAATTTAAATAACTAATGCTGAACTCAGAAAACAATAAAATCTGTCACAGGCTAAGGAGACACTCAGTGCAAGTACAGCCACAACCACTCCCGCCCCTTCTAATTTGCCTTATATCACTGGTTGAAGACAGAGCCACTGGTTGGCAAATAATTTAGCGTTTTGAAATTAAATCCTTAGTCTCCAGAACAGGGAATGCTCACACACTGTTGGAGGGAATGTAAGATAGCTCAACCTTTGTGGAAAGGAGTTTGGAGGTTTCGCAAGGAAAAATAGAGCTACCATTCAATCTAGCAATCCCACTTCTGGGACTATACCCAGGGGAACACAAATTGCTCTACCAAAATGACACCCACACTGGTAAGTTTATTACAGCACTGTTCACAATAGCAAAAACATGGAACCAACTCAGATGCCCATCAAGGTGGGCTGGATAAAGAAAATGTGGTACATATACACAATGGAAACCTATGCAGCCATAAAGAAGAGCAAAATTGTGTCCTTTTCAGCAACATGTTTGCAACTGGAGATCATTACCCTAAGTATCACAGAAACACAAAAGCTAAATACCACATTTTCTCCTCCTAAGTGGGCATTAAACACTGAGCATATATGGGCACAAGGATGGGCACTGCTAAAACGGGGAGGGAAGAAAAGGAGAATACGGGATACAAAACCACCCACTGGGTACCATGCCCACTACTAGGGGGAGAAGATGTCATCAAAAGTCCAAACTTCACCTTCACACAATATACATGTAACAAAATCACGTGTAACAAATTCTCACATGTACCCCACGATTTTTAAGTTAAAAAAAATTAAAACAAACAAATGAACGTCAGTTAAGGGCATCATCTCCTATGCATTCCTACAGCAGCCTGCACTTCCCCATCAAAGCACACAACACACTGCAATGTAGCTGCTTATGTGTCTCTTTTCCCTCTCTGCCACTGAGGTCATAAGCTTCTTATGAACAAGAATCTCTTATACTCCATAGCAATTTCATGACCTGAAAGAAACAATGCTTGACAAAATGGTAGCTGGCTAAGAATTCTTTTGAATAAAGATTGAAATAGTAACAAACCATATCAGTTATGTGGAGGAGAGTGGGAAGAAATGGCAGTAGGGAAGAGGTGGCATATGAGTTGGGACTTAAGGCATGAGTAAGTCTTTGACAAGCAGAGACAAGAAAGAGGAGCTTCCAAGTTCAGGTTCATGAAGTAGATTAAGAATAAAAAACTGGAAAGATGGATTACAGAGTCACATATTTGAATTAGGTGAGATTTTTGCAACTTTATTAACATGACAAACAAAATGTTACCAAGTAAGCTCTGAAATGTGCCAAAGATGGTCCAAAACAATTTTTCATAAATAAATGTAACAATTACATAATTTCCTACATGTGGTACCACACTCAAAGCAGTTTTTTTTACCTTGTGCTTTTTCAGTGTTTCCAGATCATGAGCAGCATCTTGTGACCCTATAAGAAATAAATCATATCACCTTAAACATAAATATGATCATCTTGACTTTTTATATAAATTTGGGCAACAATTCTGCTATTCAATTATTTGGGAAAAAAAACATGGGAGGACCTCAATCCAACTTTCTTAAGGGTAATCATTTTAAAAACTTCACATTGTATTTACTCTTAGATTCTGAATTCCCACTTCTAAGAATTTGTCCTAAGAGTTATAGACATTACAGACTAGTATAAGGATGTTTACCATATATTGTTTTTATTTTTATTTATTTATTTATTTTTGAGTTGGGGTCTCACCTGTCACCCAGGCTGAAATGCAGTGGCATGATCACCGCTCACCACAGCCTTGACCTCCTGGTCTCACATAATCCTTCTTCCTCAATCTCCCAAGTAACTGGGACTACAGGTATATGCCACCATACCTAGCTATTTTTTTTTATTTTTTGTAAGGACAAGGTCTTGCCATGTTGCTCAGACTGGTCTCGAATTCCTGGGCTCAAGCAATCCTCTTGTCTCAGCCTCCCAAAGTGCTAGGATTACAGATGTGAGACACCACACTAACAACTAAAAGCCAAATAACCGGGGTTGGGTTCAATAAAAGATGATACAATTATGTAGTGAAATATGCACAACTATCACCGTTAGAAATAAGAAATGTGGCAGATATTTATGGTAAAGAAATACGTTCTCAATATATTAGGTGATAAAAGTAGTTTATAAAATACCATCATTCACTTTTATAAAAATAAAAACGTATATACTTAAAATGGAGAGAAAGTATATGGAACGAAAGGTTAATAGCTTTCTTTTGTAACTTATAAAAGGGTATTTTGAAAATCAGACACCCACAAGGAGACTGAGTGCCTGCTGGTTTGGGAACACTCAGTAGCTTAGAGCAAATGCTGTTGGTCTGTAGGATCCCACACACTCCATGCACCACTGGCGCTGTACCCTGCCATAGACTCTTCCTGTCACAGTTGGCTTCCCAGAACCAACACTTGGAAACTGGCTCTAGTTAATAAGCAAGTATACATGGGAAAATAACTAGTTAAACTAAGTTTCACAACTGAAAAAATAGGGCATTGATATTTAAAGATATAATGCCTTCTACTTTTCTGAACTAGGTTCTTTTTTTTTTTTGAGTTGGAGTCTCACTCTGTCGCCCAGACTGGAGTGCAGTGGCCGCTCCTGGCCACCGCAGCCTTGACCTGCTGGGCTCTGGCTATCCTTCCGCCTCAGCCTTCCGAGTAGCCGGAATTACAGGCATGCGCTACCACGCCCGGCTCATTTTTTGATTTATTGTAGAGATGAGGTCTCACTTGCCCAGGCAGGTCTCGAACCCGCGGGCTCAGGCAATCCACTCACCTCAGCCTCCCAAAGGCATGGGATTACAGGCTGAGCCACCGAGCCCGGCTCAGGTTCCATTTTTTAAGTAGTGTTTTTCTTATCCTATTTATCTGGGAAATCAGCCAACTTTTATTACATGATTCTAGGTAGCTGGAAGGCCAGCAAGTATGCTAGTTATCCGATTGCCTCTTGATAATGCCAAGCTCACAGGCTCCTTACTGAATTCATTCAGCTTTATTCTACTTAGAAGTTAGCCTATCAAAATACTAACATTTGGTAAAGTTGGATGGTGGGTGAGTAATTCTGTTATATTATTTATACTTAATCTTTTAAAAATTATCCATTTTTTTACTGTAGGAAGTCCTAATCATGTCCAGGGAAAAAAATAGGTTCAAATAATTTCATTTAAATTTGATTTAATATGCATACCATACTATACATATTAATTTTATGCTATGTCTTAAAACAGCAAAAGCCTGAAACATGACCTAAATTAAATTCTTTTCTTTTTTCACTCTAGACTGTCACTATTATAAATATTTATCAACACTGGATGCTTTGATCATTTCCATTAAACACACACACACTCGCTAAAAGTAGAACCAGCAATTATGTTTCAGAGTTGGCCGCCATATTTTGAAAGTGACTTCCAGAATATGACATATTGATATGTTACGTTGATGTATAAGTTCATAGTGTTTGTTTTTGGCATGGCAACACTGCGGTGTTGGGAGTTTCTTATTTGCTATTTGGAGCGACAATGTTGTGCTTGTAAACATGCTTTGCATTTTGCTGATTTGAAGAAAGTTAGTGCTAATTATGGGCTATAGAAAATGAGAGTCAAGTGGGAAAAAACAAACAGTTCTGACATATACTTCTGAAGGGTAAAGGCAGCAGAGGTGGTGCAAAATATTTGTGCTGTGTACAGGGAGAATGTCACAGTGGAAAACACAGCAAGAAAATGGTCTTGTGATTTCAAAAAGGGTCACTTTGACCTGAGTGAGTCTCCACATTCAGGAAGACCATCAGGGTTTGATGAAGACCGTTTAAACACTTTAGTCTATGATGATCCATGTCAACCAACCTTGAGAATAGGCCAATGTGATGAACTGTCACCAGTCAACCATTGTGCAACATTTGCATTCCATGGGCAAGCAAAAACGCTATGAACATATGCATCAGCCCAACATATTTAGTATTCTTGAGACAAAAAGTGTAACTTGTATGTTCTTCCTTTTCAGACAATAAGAAAATTAAATGTGTTAACAGCACAGGGAACAGTTTAAGCACAAATGAACTTCATGTACTCAGCTTGTGTTCTTCATCTACTACTTAGTGGTATTTGGTTCAAGTTAATTATCTCTAAATTCTAGATATAAACACCCATTTCCTCCTACCAAGTCAATTTTACTGTATTTTAATTTTTTTTTTTTTTTTTTTGAGTTGGAGTCTCACTCTGTCGCCCAGACTAGTGTAGTGGCCGCTCCCGGCCACCGCAGCCTCGCTCGACCTGCTGGGCTCCGGTGATCCTTCCACCTCAGCCTTCCGAGTAGCCGGAATTACAGGCATGTGCTACCACGCCCGGCTGATTTTTTGATTTATTGTAGAGATGTGGTCTTGCTTGCCCAGGCGGGTCTCGAACCCGCGGGCTCAGGCTATCCACTCACCTCAGCCTCCCAAAGGCGCGGGATTACAGGCTGAGCCACTGAGCCCGGCTTCTGTATTTTAATTTTAAAAATAATTTTAAAAAAGAAGTTGACGTACTACCCAAAGCAATCACAGTGTCGATGTAACTTCTATCAAAATGCCAATGACATTCTTCACAGAAACAGAAAAAAATTCTAAAATTTTTATGGACCCACAAAAGACCCCAAATAGCCAAAGCAATCCTGAGTGGAAAAAAAACAAAGCTGGAGGTATTATACTACTAGACTTCAAAATATACTACAAAGCTGTAGTAACCAAAACAGCATGGTAATGGCATAAAAACAGACACACAGAGCACTGGAACAGAACTGAGGACCCAGAAATTAATCCACATATCTATAGCCAACTGATGATTAATTTTTAAATTTTAATTTTTTACAAAGGTGACAAGAACATTCACTGGGTAAGAAACAATCTCTTCAATAAATGGTCCTAAGAAAACTGAATATCTACATGCAGAAGAGTGAAACAAGACCAACCCTCCATTCACTCTATACAAAAATCAACCACATGTAATACCTAAATGTAAGATTATGAATACTAGCACTACTAGAAGAAAATACAGGGGAAATACTTCAGGATATGAGTCTAGACAAAGATTTTATGAATAAGATCTCAAAAGCAAAGGCAACAAAAGCAAAAAAAAACCCAATGGGCTAATGTCAAAATAAAAAGCTTCTACACAGCAAAGGAAACAAATAGAGTAAGAAGACAACTTAAAGAATGGAAGAAAATATTTGCAAACTATCCATCTGACAGGGGATTAATATCCAGAATACACAAGGAACTCAAACAACAAAAAAACTAACAACTTGATTTTTTAAATGGGCTAATGACCTGAACAGACATTGCTCAAAAGAAGATGTACAAATAGCCAACAAATATATGAAAAAACAAATATATTAATAAGCCAACAATCTTTATCCATTCAGGTGTTGTTGGTTACCTAAGTTGATTCTGTACTTTGGCTATTGTGAATAGTGCTGCAATAAACATGGGTGCAGATGACTCTGACACAATGATTTCCTTTCCTTTGGTTAAATTCCCAATAACTAGATTGCTGGATCATATAGTAGTTCTACTTGTAGCTTTTTGAGGAACGTTCATATATATATATATATACACACCATGGGAAAAAATTTAAAAATGAAAAAATAATGAAATTCTGTCATTTGTGGCAACATGGATGGAACAGGAAGACATCATGTTAAGTGAAATAAACTAAGAACAGAAAGTTAAACAGAGCATATTCTCATTCATAAGTGGAAGCTAAAAAACTGATCTCATACCATAGGAGTAAAAAGTAGAACAGAGAATACTTGGCTGGGTGCAGTGACTCACACCTGTAATCCCAGCACTAGAGGCTGAGGAGGGAGAATTGCTTGAGCCTAGGAGTTCAAGACCAGCCTGGGAGCATAGTGAGACCTCATCTCTAGAAAAAATTTTTTAAAATTAGCTGGGGACGGTGGCATGCACTTGTAATCCCAGTTACTCAGGAGGCTATAGCTGAAGAATCACCAGAGCTCAGGAGATTGAGGCTGTGGTGAGTCATGACTGTGCCACTACATTCCAGCCTAGGCAACAGTGTGAGACCCTGAATCAAAAAGTATAAAAAATAAATAACAACTAAAAAAAGAACAGAGGATACTAGAGGCTGGGAATGGGAAGGGGAAGAGAGGGATAGGGAGAGATTTGTTAAAGGGTGATAAATTACAGCTTGACAGGAGGAATAAGCTATAGTGTCCTATAGTGACTATAGTTAAAAATAATATATAGTTTCAAATAGCTAGAAGGTAGATATTGAACATTCCTAACACAAGAAATGATCAATGTTAAGACAATGGACATGATTATTATCTCATCACTATTCATTATATGTCTTGAAACATCACTACATACCCCATGAATGTGTACAATTATTATTTGTTAATTAAAAAACAATCAGAAAAGAAGCTGGTGAACTGGAGTACAACTAAACAAGGAGATCTAATAATAACAACTTATAGTTATGTTTTACATTGACACAAATCATGCCAATATTTGTTATACAAGGATTATTACACAAATGTTACAGATGAGGTCATTGATTATTTATTTATTAGTTGGAGTCTCACTCTGTCACCCAGAGTAGAGTGCAGTGGCATGTTTACAGCCACTGTAGCCTCCACCTGCTGGGCTCTGGTGATCCTTCTGCCTCAGCCTTCTGAGTAGCTGGAACCACAGACATGTACCACCATGCCTGGCTAATTTTTTAACTTACTGTAGAAATGAGGTCTTGCCAAGTTGTCCGGGCTGGTCTCAAACCACTAGGCTCGGGTAATTGTCTCATCTCAGTCTCTTAAAGTGCTGGGATTATAGGCATGAACCACCCCGCCAGGTCCGAAGTCACTGATTTATAAAGAACATCTATTATACGCTATGGGAGCTGGTACTTCTAACAAGTTCGATATTTTACATGCATAGTATATGTATCATAAAATATAGGGTATGTAAGATCCCTAGAGGCTGTTTCTATCTTTAAAAGATCATTTTAATGAAAATGCCAAATAATGTATAAACTTTTATGTATCGTATCTTAACTTACAAATTACTATTTTCATAATCACAAAAAGAAAAAAAAAAAAAAGTATCACATTACTGAAGAGGGAAATAAATACTATTCCAAAGATAAATGTTCTATTTTTTTAAATTTATAGTAATGAACATTCATAAACGGATAGGAATGGATAGGAATAGCAATATAAATTGCTATGAGGATTAGGTAACATAATATTTGTAAAAATAATTTTACATAAAAAAAGCTATTCAAGCTTAAAAACTGATCTCATATCAAGAATACTGGGCTTCCTAAATCTTTGAAATTCTCTATAACTTCACAAAGTAGCTAGAACTTTTCACCTGAAATTGATGAGAAGATCTCAAAATGTTACCAGTTGGGACTTCTGAGCAAAATGGATATAATAAATAATTAATGTGCCTCTTAGCTACCCCCCAAAATGGGAATTTCTACTTTTTCAAATCAAGTTAGATTTAAGAAAACTTCTAGTGATTTATTTTGCAAAAATATAATTTCCAAAGCCTCAGATGAAAACACTTTCTAAGACCTTTATTCCACCCATTAGATGGTTCAAGGGCCTATGTAAGATTTTTTAAATGCAGTTGCTTGTTAGAGTTTATAAACTAAAAAAATACAAATTACAGTTTTGGAGAGCCACATTTTTTTTTTTTTTTTTTTGAGTTGGAGTCTCACTCTGTCGCCCGGGCTGGAGTGTAGTGGCATGCTCATGGCCACCCCAGTGTCGACCTGCTGGGCTCCAGCGATCCTTCCACATCGGCCTTTCAAGTAGCCAGAACTACAGACGCGCACTACCACACCTGGCTAATTTTTTATTTATTGTAGAGACAAGGTCTCGCCAAGCTGCCCGGGCTGGTCTTGAACCCATGCAGATCCCCATTTTCTTTATTCCTCACCCAAACCAAAGCTGTTTGTCATGCAATGCTGGAAAGAAGCTATGCTGCTTTGGGGAGATGAAAGAAGCTCTTAGAATCAACCTGCAAACCATCCCAATCTCCCAGACAGAAACCAAGTCTGGTCAGAAATAACCCCTTCATCATTCATGTGGAAGATCTTTAGATGTAAATCTATGGGTCCCTCAGGAACAAGACACTTGTACCTAGGCAGAAACATGTAACTAGTCTACCTTTTGGAAGAAAGGAAGGTATGACTGATGAAAGTATCCATTTCCTGTTCCAGAGAGATCTTATTTGGACTAGTTTTAGAAGTTCCTCCTAGGACTCTTATGGGGGAAGATTCCAATCCCAATCTATGACCACTTCACTTTGGATAAATCCACATTAAAAAAAATAAGCAAAGTTCATGAAGACTCTGAATTGGTGAATGGTATATGAAAATTCTACTATAATTATAATATTTTAAACCATTATTACTAAAATCGAAGCCAAATATCTAAAAATGTGCCTGGACGTATTTTATTTCCTAGATATGATGAAAAAGACCTAGGTGAATCTCCCAGATTAGCTAAATGACTCACTTAATTTTTCACTGTTAACTTCGCAAGAATATAGCCCCATTTTTCAGATATTTCGTGAATTTAAAGATAGCTTATATAACAATTCATATAACATATAATACAATAATAACTCATATGTACACTGCAATTGATTTGCATCTAAACAATTTCACAACCACCTCAGTACTAACCCTATGAGATAAGCAGATACTGTTACTTCAGCCTTACAGATGGTTATTTGGAGGACCAGAGAGGATAAATGACTTGCACTAGTAATATAGTAAATTAGAGGTAGAGTAGAGCTGAAAATTTGTTCTACCTGAGACCCTCCAGTTTAACGATAGAGAGAAGTCAACCAGACTTGGGCTTGATGCTCAGTTCTGTTACTTACTATGTGTGTTACCTTGTGTAAATTACTTAACCAATCATAAATCCCAGTTCCCATTTGTAAAATGAAGCTGAGATTCCCTACTTGACATGGTTCTTCAAAAGAGTGAGACTCTGGATATACTTCACATAGTAACTGGCTTATTTCCAACTCCCAGTTCAGTGTTCTCTCTACTCAAGAATGTCTCCGCTGCATAAATATTGACATGTCATTAAATCTTTCCAAGTATTGATTTCTCTACTTATAAATGAAAAATAGGCTGGGTGCCGTGACTCACGCTTATAATTCCAGCACTTTGGTAGGTCCAGATGGGAGGACTGCTTGAGCCCAGGAGTTCGAGACCAGCCTGGGCAACACAGCAAGACCTTGTCTCTACAAACAAGCAAACAAAGGTGGTGTTGTAGATCCAGCTACTTAAAAGGCTGAAGCAGAAGGATCACCTGAGACCAGGAGGTCGAGCTGTGATGAACTGTGACCGTGTCATTGCACTCCAGCCTGGGAAATAGAGAGTCCAACGGGAAAGGAAAGGGATAGGAAAGGGAAAGGAAAGGGAAAGGGAAAGGAAAGGAAAGGAAAGGAAAGGAAAGGAAAGGAAAGGAAAGGAAAGGAAAGGAAAGGAAAGGAAAGGAAAGGAAAGGAAAGGAAAGGAAAGGAAAGGAAAGGAAAGGAAAGGAAAGGAAAGGAAAGGAAAGGGAAAGGGAAAGGGAAAGGGAAAGGGAAAGGGAGAGGAAAGGAAGAAAGGAAAGGTAATTCAGACCTACTTGAAAATATTGTTGACTATTTTTTAAAGAACATCATACCTTATTCTTGCCAAATTAACAAGTTTGTACTTTTATAAGCTTTCTTCGTTTGCAATTTGTGGATTTTGTTTGTATAGGGACTCAATATTTTCATAATACAAAAAAATCATAAAACCCTCAGGTTCATAGTTAGAAAATACCCCCCCCAGACATTCCAAAAACAGATACCATCAACAGATGTGGCCATAACTATTTCAAGTATTAATTTTCTGTAACTTTAACCTTTGTCACTTGTAGTTTTGCCTGATAAAAGCATTCTTTTTGATTTTTTAAAAAGCTGTGTTTTTTTAAAGCTACATATACAAGAAAACACAATATCAATGATACATCCTCCAGAGAAACTGGAAAAACAGGAAGAAAGCTTTGCTAAAATTCAAATACGAGATGCCAAGTGCTCTTACTAGAGTCTATGCTTCTTTGGGACATATTTGGGGGCAGAAACGGTCTAGCTGGCTAACGGAAGTACCATAAACAAAAAAGGAAGCATTGTAACTTTTCAGCAGGATAGCTGATGATAGAGACTATTCCACATAAAGGGGGAAAATGAGAAAGTCATCTGGCTAAAAGGACTCAATGACTTAGTGGCAGGTCGATATACTCACCCAGGAGCAACCAGGGCTTAATGACGCCAACCTGCAGGTCCAAGCTAAGGTCCTGCACGAAACCACAACCACCCCCACCGCTCGGCTCTACTTCTTCCACAACATGAATGCGGGCATCTTTCCACGTTTCTATGATTTTCTTTCCAGTAAGCGTTGTCACCCTGGTGCATTGCTTCCTGAGGTTATTCCGGGAGAATGCTTTAATTTCCTGGTTAAGGGAGTGCATTACATGAGCAGTGGCTGGGAACAAGGACGAGCAAAGGCAGCACGCAGAAACCGGCTGCACTTCTCCTCCTTCAGTGCTCAGGTAACAAACACAGCCTCAGGGTGCAGCCCATCAAGATGACTGCGGCAGCCGCCAGTCGGAGACTGCTATGTCCTGGTCGGTTTCTGCCGGCGCCTCAATGTAAGGCGAGCTCTGATTGGTCGTTGAGAAACGGGTGTTGATTGGATGCCGCTGTTTCTTCCTGTCACCGAAAATCTGTCTTTTCTCCCAAAGGCTCAAGGGATCCGCTGGGGAGTTTCCTTATCGTTGCTTTTTAAATCGAGATTTATTATACACAAATCGGTAAAAATATAAAACAGTTGGAGAAAGGCCTGATATTTCCAGGCTCTTTTTTTTGGGGGGGGGAGGGGCTCAAAATCTAGCTCTGTCTTCCAACCCGGAGTGCAGTGGTGCGATCATATCTCACTGCAGCCTCGACTTCATGGGTTCAAGAGCTCCTTCTTACTCGGCCTCCTGAATAGCTGGGACTACAGGCACGCGCCGCCGTGCCATTCTATTTTTTATTTTTTTATTTTTAGTAGAGACAGGTTCTCACTATATTGCCCAGGCGTCTTGACCGCCTAGGCTCAAGCAAGCCTTCCACCTCGGCCTCCCAAAGTTCTGGGGTTACAGGCGTCAGCCACCGTGCCAGGCCTTGGCTCTTATAAAGCCAGTGGTCTTCTGGATATGTTCGATTGGTGTCATCATTCATGTGGTGACCATGAACGGCACTGGCCGACCCGTATCTCGCTCCTGCTTCTGTGACGTCGGCTGAGTCACCAACAAACCTTCCTGTGTCGCAGAGCCTTCCCTGCCCGCCTGCTTTGGGGCTAGTGCAGGGTGGCTACAGCAGACGTTATTTCTCGCTTCCTCTGTCCCTCATGCTTTCTCTCTGCTGTCACTAGCAAGAGGAAGGCGTACTACATAAAACTATTTAATTTTTGTTGTATACTGTTGTGTATATTTGTGAGGCAACAATGTAAGTACTTTTTAAAAAATGATATTTCTTTTAAAAAATTTGTATTGCTTCTATAGCTTAACAAGAACTGAAGTTTTGTGTATTTTTTTACTTTCCGCCTTCATTTTCATTTTATTCACAAATATGCACTCTATTTATAAGAATTGCAGCAAGTCCATACAGAGAATTAAGAAATCAAGTGTGCATGCATTCAAATTTATAAAACAGATAAATTATAGAATGGTGATTCTGATTACAAAACAAAATTTGTTTTGCAAAAGAAACCACAAGTTCCTTTAAATAGGAATGTTTTAACCCCTTAAAGTAAAATGCAATTTTAAATAGATTTTGACATAATGTATAAATACATATATAAAATGAAGAAACTGCACTTAGGAGAACCTATTCCACATCACATGTTAAAATTTTTGTTGTTGTTGAAACTTTCTGACAAAAAATTAAAATAAACTGTTATGGGCTGACTATTTGTGTCCCCCCAAAATGCATATGTTGACGCTGTAACTTTCAAGGTGATAGTATTTGGAGAGGGAACTTTGGGATGTAACTAGGGTTAGATTAGGACATAAAGGTAGGGCCAAATGATGGGATTAGTGACTTCATGAAAACTGGAAGAGAGCTCCCTGTTCCCTTGTATGCACTATGAAAAGACCATGTGAAGATTTAAGAAATCAGCAGTCTCTAAACCAGGGAGAGAGCCCTCACCAGGAACTGAATAGGCTGGTACCTTGATCTTGGACTTCCCAGCCTTCAGAACTGTGAGAAAATAAATCTCTGGTGTTTAAGACATGAGGTTTGTGTGTGTGTGGGCGGGGGGAGTTGTTTGTTTTGAGTCAGAGTCCCACTCTGTCACCTAGGCTGGAGTGCACAGTCACAGCTTAGCGCAGCCTTGACCTCCTGGGCTCAGGTGATCCTTCCGCCTCAGCCTCCCAAGTAGCTGGGACTACAGAAACACTACACCAAGCTCAGCTAATATTTGATTTTTTGTAGAGATGAGGTCTCACCAAGCTGCCCAGCCTAGTCTTGAACCCTTGGACTCAGGCAATCATCTCACCTCTGCTTCCCAGTGCTGGGATTACAAGCATGAGTCACCACGCCTGGCTAAGAAACACAGTTTATATTATTTTGCTGTAGAACCTCAGCAGACTGAGACATAAGCCAAATTTCTCTAAATTTTCTAAAAAGAGGGCAATATCATCCCAGGCTGATATATACGGGACACTTTCTTTTATTCTTTATTGTTTCTTTTTTTTTTTTTTGAGTTAGGATCTCACTCTCTTGCCAAGGCTGCAGTTGCAATGCCACAGTCACAGCTCAACACAGCCTTAATCTCCTGGCTTCAGGGGATTCTTCTGCTGGAAGAAGAACTACAGCTGTAAGAACTTCTGCTGGAAGAAGAACTACAGCTGGAAGAAGAACTGTAACTGGAACTACAGGAGTGCACCACCATACTCGCTATTTTTATTTTTTTTAATTTCATGTAGAGATTAGGTCTTACTATGTTGCCTAGGCTGGACTCGAATTCCTGGGCTCAAGCAATTCTCCCATCTTGGCTTCCCAAATTGCTGGGATTACAGGCATGAGCGATGGCACCCAGCCTATACAGGGCACTTTAAAATAAAGAACTAAAGAAATTATTTACATCTTATAAGCAACCACAGGCTCATCGAAGGCCACTCCATAAATCAATCCATATATTTATCATAATGATGATTTTAAAAATAACTACTATCTATTAAGCACTTACTACATACTAGGCACAGTGCTTATAAACAATTTTAGAATCTTGGTATTATCTATTACGTGCTTAACAATGGTCCATCACATTATCCTATTTGACCTCACCACAAGCTTACTATGAACGTATTATTATCATCATGCACATTTTATAACTGGGAAAACTCAGATACAGAGCATAATACATATACTACATTTCACAGTTGATATGTTTAGAACCACAAATAAAACCTAGGTTTGCTTCAGTCCAGTGCCTCAGCTCTTAATTACTCTGGAATATTGCCCTGCCCCTCAAATAATTGTAATTAACAAATATTTGTTGAGCACTAACTATGTGCCAGGCACTGTTGTAGCCATTGAGGATATAGCAGTGAATAAAAACAAAATCCCCTCTCTCATGGAGTTTATGTCTAAGTAAAGGCAACACATAGATAAGAAACAAGATGGTTATATAATATATATAATCAAACAAGATGGTTAAATATATATAAAACTATCTTGAGTCATAATTTAAATACTAAAAAAAATTAAGTGAAATAAAGGAACAGAGTGAAAGGGCAATGTGCTATTTGCTACAGGATGGTGAGAGAAAGCCCCTCTGATAAAGTGAAAATTTGACAGAGATATGAATAAAGAGCAGGAGCCAACCTTGTACATATCTGGGGAATAGCAGGTGTCTAAACCTTCTAACAGAGTTAGCCTTTGCTGAGTGGGGAGACAGGAGTGCACTAGTGGGAGGTAGGAGGTGGGGCAGTTCAAGAAACATCTGTGTGGCTAATATAACTTTACAGGAGTGAGTTAGGGGAAGAGTTGGAGGAGATGTGGGTAGAGAGAAATGGCAAGAATTTAGGACTGGATTCTGAGTGAGCTAGGAAACCACTGGAGGGACCTGGAGAGGGGAGGAGTAATATGCATCATGTGCTGTGCTGCCCAGATCCCCCTCCAATGAGGATTACTCTGTTAAATCCACTATTACCTGACTGGCATCAATCCCTTCAGGGAGGACTGCCACAGCTGCATAGGGCTCCCTCATGGACGAGACGATATCCATGACTGATTGATGAGAGATTTTCGAGACCTACATTTTAGCCCAACTTGGGACATCTCTGAAGGTCATCCTAGCTCTAAAAGACTAACATGTGTTTGCCAAGCCTATCATTGGGTTTGTATAACCACTAGCAGTCTCCATCCAATCCTGCTTCCTTATTCCCTTCTGTTGGTGTTGATCTCAAGGGTACTCTGTTAAAAAGTCTTGCATGCTAAACTCTTACCTCAGTAAGCTTCCAGGAAGTCTTAATCTGTGACAAGTGACATGGCATTGCTTATGCTGCAGAAGAATCTTTCCGGCTGCTATAAGGAGATGGAGCAGGAAGGAAGCAGGGAGATTTGTTAAGGGGTTACTGCAGTGGTCCAGATGGAAGATGACAGTTGCTTGGGCTAGAATGACAGCAGAGGGGAGGCAACAAGCAGTCAGATTTTATATACTTACAAGAATCAAGTCAAAAGGATTTATTGGTAGATTGATGTGGAAATGAGGACAATTCCGTAGTTCTTGGCCTAAGTAACTGAAGAATAGATTTGCCATTTTCCAAGAAAGGAATAGAAAAGCAGTTTGGGACATGTTAATTTTGTTTTGTTTTGTTTTGTTTTGTTTTAGTCAGGATCTCACTCTGTTGCCCAGACTGAAGTGCAGTGCCACAATCATGGCTCACCATAGCCTTGACCTCTTGAGCTTAGGTGATTCTTCCATCTCAGCCTCTTGAGTAACTGGGATTGCAGGCACACATTACCACACCTGGTTAATTTTTTTTATTTTTTTGTAGAAACAAGTGTCACTACGTTATCCAGACTGGTTTCAAATTTGGGGGCTCAAGCAACCCTCTCATCTCAGCTTTCCAAACTACTGGGACTACAGGTGTGAGCCACTGTACCTGGCCTAAAGCTTAATATGCCTATTAGTCAACCAAATGGGGATGTTTAGTGGGCAGCTGCACATATAACTCTGGTCTTCCTAAGACAGATATCTGCTGGATGTGTAAATATTGGAGTAATCAGCTTAAAGATGCCATTTAAGCCATGGAACTGAATGAAATGATCTGGTAGTGAAAGCTGATAGAACAGTCTCATATATGCCAGGGAGACTAAGAAGGAGAGGTTGGGGAGGTAGGAGAAAAAGAAAGAGTTCTGAGAGTACAAGCAATGAAAATATTATAAATTGGACAGTGTCATCAGCTGTCACATGCTGCTGAGAGTATTGAGTGAGATGAAGACTGAGCTCTAAAGTCTCCTTCAACAAAAGCAGACCTTTGCCTCAGTAACATACAAACATTATCTGATTCAATCCACATGAAGTCCTAATGAGGTAGATATTATCTACTTTATTTTTATAGAGAAGGACATTTAATTTGGAACTTAAAGACCTAGTCTC